CCGCCCCGCCGCCGGACTGCTCCCCCCGAAGCCCACCACTAAGCCCCCCCACTCCCCAGCCGCGATCCGCTCGAATCCAGCTCCGCTGGGCCTGCTGTCTGTTCCTCACGCCCCTTAGGACCCGGGGTGGGGGAGCCCTGGGGTTCGCGGCCATCCCTCTCCCTCCTTCAAGGGCTGGGGGATTGCCCCTGATGCCGAAACCCGGCCCCGTAACCGGAGCCTCCCTCCTTCCACCCCTCGGCTTCGCTCTCAGACCCCTTGCTTCCAGGCCTGGCGCGGAACGGGTGGAGAGCTTGCACGCCGGATCTCCCCCTGGCTTGCCGGGGCTAGTATGAATTGCCCCCATCTCATCCTCCTTCAATTTAAGCCCCCTCCCCGCCGCGCCCGGCCCGGCAGCCCCCGCCCCTAGAGCGAGGGCAGCGGAGCCAGGGCGCTCCGAAGTCATCCCCCGCCTTTTTTCCAGGGACTCGGATAATTGCCCCTGCCCCCATCACAGCACTCCCACTCCCGAACCCAGGCCCCGCCGCCACCTAGGGGTACCCCTTACCCTACGGTTCCCGCACCCCAACACCGGGGAGAAAGCAGCCCTGAAGAGCAACCGTCGCACCTCCCCTCTGAGGTTGGAGGGTATTTTCTCCAGGTCTCTTCAAGACTTCATCACGGACAGCCACCCCCCCCCCCAAAAAACAAGCCCTTTCTCGCCCTGCCCTCCTGGCCAGCCTCCCTTCGGATCACTGGATCCTTGGATGGGGGGTGGGGGGTGTTAGGGCCAGGTAGTTAACAAGACCATAGTCTCCACCTCCCTTTCTGAGGAGTGGGGTAATTCCAATGGTTCCCCCCCAGGATCAACCCGACCCCCGTTTCCATGGAGACCCCCGCCCAGCCAGGAAGAAGACTCTCAGATCGTGGCGAACAAGTCTCACCTGGCTAAGGGAGAAGGGGGTGAGGAGGGGGTAGGGTAGGGCAGGGATGGGGTACGAAGGTGGGAAGTGGAGGGGAGCTGTCCCGAAGGGAGGGGCGAGGACAGAGCGAGCTCCAGGGAGCGCTACGTCCGGGGACACGAAGAGGACGGCGCCCCCGGGGGGCAAGCAGAGCGGCCGCCGGGCGAAGGGACAGGGTTGGGAAAAGGCTTAAGATAGAAAGAAGCGGGTGGGGGGATACGAGAAAGCCGGGGAGTCAAAAGGGGTGGAGGGGTTGGGGGAGAGAAAAAAAAGACGCACCTGTTCCCGGGTCGGCTCCGCGGGGAGGCTCAGGCCGCCACCCGGGCTCCCTCTTACCCACTCTGAGCCGCCACCCGCCTAATACTGCCCCGATCTGATGCCCCCCCTCCGCCCCTTATCGCCACCGACCTCCTTCTCCTCTCTCTCGGCGGCGGCGGCGGTCGGACTCTAGGAACTGAGAGGAAGAAGGGAGGGCTCGGCAAAGCGGAGGAGAGACAGAGCCACACACTGGCAGCAGCCGCGGCAAGCGAAAGAGTGAGGGGGAGAGCGGTGTGTGTGTGTGTCTGTGTGTGCGAGCGAAGCCTGGTGGAGTGGGTGCCGGTCGCAGGGCTCGACGGGAACTGGAGTCCGGCGGGGTTCGCGGGCGGCGCTAGCCGTCGCTCCATGGGACTACAACTCCCAGAGTGCCACCTGCCGAAGGGGGAGGAATGGGGAGGTGGAGGCGAAGGGAGGGAGCGAGCAAGAGAGGGAGGGACGAAAGCAGGGAGCAAGCGGCGGCGAAGGGGGCAGAGCCAAGCAGCCCCGGTGACACTGGGAGGGGAGGGGAGGAGGAGGGGATCGCTGCGAGGACCAAGCGGATTCCGGAGAGGGAGGCAGCAGCAGTGGCTGCAGCAAGCCGGGCAAAAAGCTAGACTCTCAGGAGAGGCGGAGGCGCTCAATCCTAGGGGCTGCAAGAGCCCCACGCCCCCAGCCCTCAATGCCCCTCGAACGGGAAGACTGAGGAAGGGAAAAGATCAGGGCGCCAAGGCCAGGGGTTTCTGTCTCTCTCCTCCACGGCTCTCCACCATATGCCCCGACCTGACTTTCTCAGGCCACTGGTGCCCGATCCAGTGTGCAAATCCAGAGACCCCAGATCTCCCCTGCCGGGCAGCAGAGAACAGACACATTCAGTCCCCTTCTCCCAGGGGCCTGAGGGAAGCTCCCCTTGCTGGCAGGGTGTGACTCCCCCCTTCTTCCCTCCCCCCGTCATCGCCACCCCCCATGTCCCTCCCAGAACTCCTCCCCTGAAGCCTGGGCTCGCTTCTCCCTACCTTACAAGAAACGGAGTCCCTCCAGGGGCGACTACCCAGCCCCCTCCTTTATACTGGGTCCCTACCCACCATTATCTCCTTAGCGTTGCCCCCCTCACCGAAGTAATAGTGGGAGCGACCCGAGTTGGACTGGTGGCTACTTTCCCTCAGAGACTAGCCGTCCTTGGCCACGCCGACCCTGTGTAGAGATAGAGAAGCACATTAATACCGCCCCCCAAAGTTCGGATCCCCGTGGAAATGGCTTACAAGGAAAGGGGTTGGTAGTGGAAGTGAGCTGGGGGTGAATCTCAATCCTCAAACCTCGTTCTAGGCGTGGAAATCCAGGGATTCCTCCCTTTCCTTAAAAGCCATCAAATCGCTTGAGGGGGTGGGGTGGGGGTAGGTTATCTAAACCCCAATGTCCACAAGACTCGAAGCGACGCTACATGTAGGAATAAGATACGAACTAGGCTGCTGCCGCGGGAGGGAGAGTATACCGCCGCCCCCCCCCACCCCACGCCGTCGTCCACCCCCAAACACATACCCCTAGGAGAGTCAGATGGCCTAGGAAGGGGGAAGGCGATGGGAGCGCAGGAGAGTGAAAGGGTTGTGGCGGGGAGGGTCCGCGGCCCCCTGAGAGCAAAATCCAGATGCTAAGAGGTGGGTGGGGGGTGCGGCATAATTGCAGACGGTGTCTTTCCTTGCTTTTCCCGGAATCGCCGCCGAACACCGTCTAACACTCGCAGTTGCTTACCAGTCAGTCCCCTAGCCCCATTTGTGCGCGTGAGGCGGCCCGAGCCCGGGAAGCCCGGGCACAAACTCCGCGGAAGCTGGCCTTCGCTGCCGCCGCGCTGCCGCGGGCCTCCCTCCCTCCGCTGGCGGCCCCGCCGATCTACCTTCGCCCCCGGCCGAGGCCAGACCCCGCTCGCAACTCCACGCCCCTACTCCACCCCCGGCTCCCCCCTTCGCCCTCTCCCCGCGGGTCCGGCCCAGCCCCTAGCGCCGCCCCGCCCTACCGCTCGGTCCCGAGCCCAGCAAGTGCCCCGAACTCGCCCCCCGCCCCCACGCCCAGGCCAGTCCGGCGGGGCCTGGTTTCCCCCTCCCGCCGCGCCCCGCCCCCGAATCCACGTCCTACTTCGCCGCCCAACTCGGCCCGGTCCGGGTTCGGCCCGCGCCCAGGCCACCGGAGTCTCCGGTTCGGTCCGGTGTATGGCCACCCACCCCGCCCTTGCCTGGGTGCCGGCCTGGCCCGCTGCCTGCGCCCGCCGAGCCGGCCCAGGCGCGCGGTCCGGGTCTGGGTCCCGGTGCCGGCCTCGGTCCCAGCGGCGTTGCCGCGTCTCGCCACGAGGGCTCGGTCCACGCAAGATCCGAACCCGCGAGGGGTGGGGGCCGTGGAAAGCAAGTTTCTTTATCTTCCCTCCGCCCCCGCCGCAGGGCCGCGCCATCCCCCACCCCCCACGGCGCCCCCTTCACCTGGGCAGAGCCCCCCGGCCGCTGTCGCAACTTTGCTCTTCTCCACGCCGCCGGGGAAGCGGGCGAAGCGAGAGGAGGAGGGAGGTGGCGGGGGGTGCTGGGATCAGGCCGCTGGGCTCCGGGAGGACACGTGGGGGAGGAGGAGAAGGAGGAGGAGGAAGGGGGGGCGGGCCTGCAGTTCTCGGGGCTCCCCCTGCCAGCACCGGGGAAGCCGGAACCTCTCCGGGCAGCCGCAGACCCCGCACTGGCCACGGGGGAAGAACGGAGCCACCTTCCCCCGCCAGCCCCCGGCTCCAGGAAGGGGGGGGGCGAGCAACGCCGCTCGGGGTCGGAGAGCGAGCGTTTTCGCTCGTGCTTTATGTGTGACTCTCTATCTCCGTTTAGCCTCCGTGTATGGGGGGGTGCGTGGGGTCTTGCATGCGGGGGGGGGGCGCCCCCGCCGGACGCCCCGCCCCTTCCCTGGCCCCCCACTTCCCTAACCCGGGCGACCTCGGTGCAAGGCTCTGGCGCTCGGGCACCGAGGCCGCCCGCGGGCGCAGCCCCAGCCCCGGCGCCGAAGTGGGACAGGTGCTGGGGAAGGGAAAATGCCGGGGCTCGCTGCCTCGCCTTGCGTCTCCAGGGCGGCCCACCCTTCGTGGCAACCTTGCGTGCTGCAAACCCCCTGGGCCGACTTCAAAGGACAGCCCCTGGCCTGGGCGTGGAGGCACCTTTTTTGGGGGGGGTGCCTGGAGCTAGAGGCCTGAGGGAGGAGGAGGGAAACGAAAGGTCTGTAAAGGGGGAAAGCCTGCACGATTTTGGGGCCGAAAACCTGGCTCGAGGAAAACTCGGCTTCTGCCCCGCCCCCCCCCCCCCCCACCCCCCCCCCCCCCCCCCCCCCCCCCCCCCCCCAGGCTCCTCAGTCACCAAACCGAGCCCCCTTGACCCTTACCCTTTACCCTAACGACTCCCCGCCTGGCCAAAGGAATAAATCCTCATATGTGTTTACATCCCAGGCCATCCCGCCATCCCCAAGACTGAAGGGCTGAGAAGCCTGCGGACCACATTGGAACTCTGATGACTTTACATTAACTCCGAGGAGGAGAGCAGCTTGCGAAGGAGCTGAAGCTGCCGGCAGACTTGCTTTCAGTCTTAGGGTGTTTCTTAGCAGCTCCAACCCTGAGACCGCGGTTGGGACTTCAAAGGCATCGCCTCAGCCTAAAGGGTATTAGGGGAGGTGCCCGGCAGTTCCTGGAGGGTTCAGGGCTTTGTAAACACGGAATGTGAAATGAATAGCAGGAATTTGCAAAAAAAATCTTTATGTGCAGATATATTGATATTATTTATTATATATTTATCTATACTAAGGAAGCCAGAGGGTCATTTGGACTAGAAGGAAGCCCTGACGGATTAATGTCTTCCTCCTCCTCCTCCCTGCCCCTTTCCTTTGTCCCAGGCCCAGAGAGTTTCCATCTCTAAGCTATGGGGTGTCTTCTCTCAGTTGGAAGGACTTTAGAGATGGCAGGTGAGACTTGCCTGGTATGTCTCCCTCACCTGGTTTAAAGGAGGAGTATTGCAGAGGAGGGTAAGCCACTGAGGTAGCAGGGGCTTTGCTGTTGTCTAAGGCCTGCTGTTCTATGACCCCTCTGGCTTGTCCTCACCAGCCTCAAAATCTACCGCCAGCAATGGGGACCAAACACTTGCCACTTTGCTTTGGAAACTTATTCACTAGCTGTCTTACTTGGCCATTCCCACCCTCCTGTGCATCCCCCCCACACACACACTTTAAAAAATGTTTGGCCTAAGTTGCACAAAGGGAAAGTGAAAATTTGAAATGATTCCTTTAGACTAATCAACATACGAATTCTACAGGCATTATTAAGGTGTGAGGGATCACCTCCATTGGGCCTGATAATGCAGGCCCCAGCAATTCTGCTTTGATTTAAATTGGCTGTCTTCACTGATTTTAATTCATCTGGTAATTGCTAAATTTCCACTTCTCTTAAGGGCCTTAGGCCTTGGGGCTACTTTGCTCTTTGGTTTGAGGCTGAAATGGATTCTGGACACCTCTGTTCCCCACTCATCTCTATCTCACCATTTGGCTGCATCATTTATCTGGCGAAATGAAGATTGGGGCAAGATGGTTATTTCCTGGCTGAAGCTCTAGCTTCTCTGAGCCCTTCCTGTTGGGGGCCATGCTTCCTGCCCTACAGGAGGTGATGGGAAATCAAGGAGCAGGGTGGGGAGAGCTGTGGGAAACCTTGAAAAGAGTAAAGATTAATGATTATTTTATTTGAGGCTAGAACCACAACATAATAATAATAGTAATAATACCTTTGTACAATCTCAGGATGTCTACGAAGCCCTTTCACTTGTGTTCTTTCATTTGTTTTCTCACTCCAACCCTCGATTTTGTAATTGAGGAAACTGAGTCTATGAGCATCTATGAGTGGCTTGCTCAAGGTCACATGGCTAGTGAGTTCCTGAACCAGGACTCAACCCCAGTAATCCTGACCCCACATCCAGAGTTCTTTTCAACATGGTATAGCACCTCCATTTAATGCCAAAATGTTCCTTTTCATGCAGATTTTTAAATAATTGTTTCTTCCATCAATAACAGCTACTGGCCTGGGCCTGGACTCTCAGAGAGTCAGCTTGGTGTGATGGAAAGAGGATTGTTTGGAGAGTTTTAAGAACCAGATCCTAGTTCTGTCCTGTCGATGGCTAGCAGTGGGACCTCAAGCAAGCCCTAACATTTGAGTAGGGCCCGCCCAATGCCAGGGACTGTGTTTTGGGTCTTCCTCCCAGCTCCAAAATATGGGAATCAATGCACCTGTCCTCCCTCTCTCACAAGCACACCCCTGAGCATCAAATGAGATAGTGGATGGGAAAGAATTTTGTGCACCGTAAACTACTGGACTCATGCAAGTTTTTACTATTATCAGCCTCAGCATCACCAGCCTCCTTTGCACAGAGACCTAGGGGTGACATGGGCCTGGGCTCTGCCCTCCTGGAGCCAACCAGACAAAATAGGGCATTTGGGGTTCGTGGGGGTAATTTAGGCCTCACACCAACCTCTGACTTAATTCATAGGATAATTGCTCCAATTCTCTGCTTTGTTCTGAAATCAGAGGCCTTCCTTGTGTCTCTGGTAAAACAGTCCAGTCCTGTGACAGCAACAACAACAACAATGACAACAATTTCAGTGGCTTAGATCGCTGGAGTGTCAGAAGGAAGTGAATTTGAAGCTTCTGGTCATCCCTTCATCCCCTGCCCACCA